CCCACCTTGCTCTCGCTGGCACTGATGCAGACGTGGCTGTGGGTGTACTCCCTGTTGAACGTGTGTGTGAGGAGGCGCAGGCACTGTGGGCAGGAGTAGCAGTCAGGACCCCAGGTCTGGCAGGTGGCCAGGGCCCCAAGGGCAGAAGGCTGAGATGGGCAGCATCCCCGACTCCAGGGGTCGGGGGGAGTGCCAGGAAAACCTTAGGGTCAAGCCCAGCAGTGCTGAGAGGTGAACGAGGGGATGTTCCGAGCCCCCACCGTCCCCTCCCTGGGGGACAGAGATAGCCAAGTGCAGAGTTCCAGCCCACCTTGACAGCCAGCTCCCGCTGCCTTTCACTGGGGGTGTCCGTGGGCGATGGCCGGCCCTCAGCAGAGAGTGGAGAGGAGGCGCCGGAGGAGCTATGGGAGCCGGAGTCCTCGCTGGCGCCGGGGGACAGCACCTCTGGGAGCAGCCTCTGTGCGCTCTCCAGCTTCTCCCGGAGGAGCAGATAGTGCCGGGTCTTCTCCACCTTCGGGGCAGGGATGGCCTCACCCACTGTCTGGGCCTTCCTCCCCCAGGAGCTGTCCACCCCCACCCCACAGGCTCCTGGGCACAGCCCCAAAGACAGCAGTCCACCTTGTCCACCGCCTCCAGTCCCTCCCTCGGCCCCGCCCACCTCCACCAGCCCTCAGGCCCGCAGGCCATGCCCCTCACTCTCCAGTCCCCATGGCCCCGACCTGGGCCTTTCTCAGTCCCCCTCCACTGCCCTCACACCACAGCCCCTCCAGAAGCTGGCTTCTCAATCCCCATAGTTGCTGACCCCTCCACCCATATGGACCCTGTCCCCTCTACTCCCCCATTCACTGTCCTTCCAGACTCCTGGCGCCGGCCCCACCTCCTGTAATGGGCTGAGCTTTCTTTAGCTCCCACTGGGGGTCCAGGATGAGGGGGCAATATCCCCTCACTCTCTCTCTCACACACATGCACACTGTCAAAGCCTCTCCCATACCTCCTGCAGCAGGACACACACATACACTGTCCCAGCCTCTCCCCAACACTGTCCCACCAACTCCCCACTGCCCCCACCTCCTCACCTTCTGAACTTCTGAACACACACTCTCTCTCTCTCTCTCTCTCTCTCTCTCTCTCTCGGCCTCTTCCACTGCCCCCACCTCCTGGAGCAGGACACACACATATAGACACACACATACACACACTGTCTCTCTCTCTCCCTCCCTCTCTCCCCCTGCCCCCACTCCTGCAGCAGGACACACACACACACACACACATACACATTCTCTCTCTCTCTCCCCCGCCCCCACCTCCTGCAGCAGGCTGAGCTTCTCCAGCTCCCACTGATGGTCCAAGATGAGGCTGTCGCTCCTCGGCCTCCAGCCCGCCAGGTTCTCCTCCCCACGCACGTAGGCCACAGATGTGTCCAGCACCCGCCTCCGACGTCTCTGCATCCCTGTGGGCCACCCCGGGCCAGGTGTATGATCACATCCAGCGGGTGGCCTGAGGTCAGGTTCATCCCAGCACCGCTGGGGTGCCGTGGGCCCTCCCTTCACCTGCCCAGGCCACCTTGGCTCCTGGGTCTTGTCCCCTCTGGGGTCTAGCATTCCCCAATGGCACTAATTGTCCCACCCCACTTAGGGACCCCCCCATGTCCCCGGAGGGATGGCACTAGGCTTCCCATGCTCCCCTCACCTCCACTGCACCTAGGTTCTCTGAGTACCCACATGCAGGTACACCTGCTCCCAGGGCCCTCACCCTGAAAGCCCACAAGTTGCTCCCCCACCGGGAATGGGGTGCCTACCTGGACTGCCCGCGTCGGCCACGTGGCTCAGACTGAGCTCATACACGCCCGTCACACGGTTGCTGCAGAGCAGAGGGGCATCAGCCCAGACCCATCTGTCTCCTGTACTCCAGGCCCCTGAGAGCCCCCCACTGAAGCCCAGACAGCAGAGTTCTGCCGCCAAGCCCATCACCAATGGCCATACAAGGCAAGGAACCAGGGGGCCCCAGGCAAGCTCCCCTCCTTTGCAACCCCCACCTCTCTGAGGCCCTCAGACTCCCACTGCCGAACAAGTTCCGGATGGAGCGTGAAGCGGGCAGCTTGGCATCCCGGGAGTAGAAGATCATGCAGAAGTCCTTGGTGACCACGGCAGGCTGGGTGCAGTTCTCCAGCTGGGGGGGAAGGAAGCAGGTTCATCCCAGGACCCCATGAGGGGTGTGGGCCAGGCCACACCTACCCAACACAACTTGGGGGGCAGGCAGGTTCAGCCTGAGACCCCTCCAGGGCTGCAAACCAAGCCACACCCCTCCTGCCTGACACAACTGCCCCCAGGAGAAAGTGCCAAGGTTCTGCTGCCCAGGAACCTGGGTGCCCAGGACAAGAGTCAGGGGACTGAGAAGCAATGTGAAGGTGCCCAGGACAGGGTGCCAGAGCATGGGCTCCGGGAGGGCCCCCAGACCAGGTATCAGCACAGACCTGGGAGCTGGTGAGAGGTGCCATGCAGACCAGACACTGCCCATCAGCTATACCAACATCCCCAGCTTCCCCTCCTGCCTCCAGCGTGGTGCTTCCAACCCTCCCTGCAGAGAGGACCCGACTGTGCCCTCATCACCATCCCCAAATGGCTGAGGGCACGCAGGCTCCCAGACGAGATCATGTCCCTTGAGGACACCCGGACTTCACTGTCCCGCTGGGTACTAACGCCAAACCTCCCTACCCCTCACAATTGCTCTGCCCACCTAGACATGCCCATACTCCCAGCCTTCTGTTGCTGCACAGGGAAACCCAGCCAGCACTGGGCTGCTGATCCTGGGGAGGAAGAATTCTGCTTTTGAACTGCCTGGAACGGTGATGCAATGTCTGGTGATGCTGCAGCCACTTTGCAACCCTGAGGGTAAAATCCACCCACCAGTGAGGGAGAAGCAGGCTCAATCTTAGAATTGTTGTTAGAGATACACAGACCTAACTGGGGCACCTGAGATGTGTCCCAAGGGGGAGAAATCCAATGTGCCTAAGGCTATTCAAGACGAAACAGATCTGCTGCGTCCTGCTGACACTGACTCCCATGTCCTTAGGACAGGCAGAGCTGCCCCGTGAGATCTCTAACTCCACCACCTTTACGGAAGGGGCCTGCTGTGCTCTGGTTCAAGCGCTTGCTGCTGTTAGGTGTCACCAGCTTAGCTCCACTCAGTTACCCCACAGACAGCAGCAGCCCCCCTGCCCTGCTGGACCATCCTTAGTCTCTGCTGGCCCTCCATGGTGCAGCCACTGCATCAGCCCCCCTTGTCAACAGGCTTCCTCCCGTTCGCTGACCTTCCACCTTTCCAAGCAGGACAGCCCTGACTGGCTCCTCCAGACCACATGTCCGACGTGAACCAGAGGCTCAGCATCCATCTCCATGGAGCACCTGAAGGCACTGTGCTCCAACAGACGAATTTGCTCTTGGTTCAAAACTCACTCTTTGTCAGAGTCAGAACGGGCTCAGCTGGTTCTCCAGAGGGTTTTCCGAGGACATCACAGAGGAGGAGACATTGTTCTCCTTGGAGCAGCTCGTGGATTTGAGCTGTGTGGCTCTAGGTTTGCAGAGCAACTCCCTACTAACCAGGCCACCAGAGCTCCCTCCTGGTCATCCACGCCATGATCTTCGCCAGCACCAGCGCAAAAGGCATCAGTTCTTCCCGATTCCTTGCTGAACTTCCACGTGCACCTGGAGCCACTGAAGATACCATGGCTTGGATCAAACAAACACACCTTAGTCTTTAAAAGGACATCTTTCATTCTTTGCAGGTCAAGAGGTCCCTGGCAGCAGATGTGTCGATGGCGAGACGTCCCCTGATGTTTTGGCTGCTGCCTCCATGCATGTTGACTGTGGACTGAGGAAATCACATTCTTGACCCCCACCCCCACTCCTTTCTCCACTCGTTGCCCAGCTGTATGACTTTGTTTCTTGATTCTCAAGGCTGAGCTGGAGGGCGGGGACATGCACCGCTGGGTGCGGCCATCAAGATGTGAAGGGGGAACGACCTGCGGGGGCTCCCCTCAAGTGCGATCTGCTCATGGCAGCTAATTCAGCTTCTTCTTACAGCACCAGGTTGACAAGAGTTGTCTCCAGATGAGCTGCTGGCGTGCTCGAACCCCTGACCTTTTAGTGAGCTGTCAAGTGCTAAAGCCTTGCACCGGGCTCCCTCCAGGGCTGACAAGCACCCTCCCAGCCCCATGCAAGGCCCCAGGCCCGGGGGCAGAAGCTTGCCTCGATGTAGGCGGACAGGGTCATGTAGATCTTCTCCCGGTACGGGGTGACCCGGTTCAGCAGGAGCGAGTTGTGCATGGAGCTGTCCCACGCTGCCTCAAACTGGTAAAAGGTCCTGGAAGGGACAGAGAGGGGTCAGGAAGCACCTGTGGGAGCCCTCAGCTGGGAGGGGACATGCAGACACACACAGACAGACACCAGGCCACTCGCAGGGCATCGTAGGAGCCATCAGTCCAGAAGTCTGAGTGGTTCCTGGGGAGGCCGGACCTCCTGACTCAGGACCGAGGGGCCTCCACCAGGTGACCCTGCGGCTGATGCTGTGAGAGGAGGGGTGCAGAGGAAGAGGGGAGGAGCGGGCAGAGGAGCAGGGTGGGCAGGAGTGGACTGGTGACCCGGCCCAGCCCTGTCCTGGTCTGAGTAAGGAGGCACTGCCGTAGCCCAGATCTAAGGGCCACTTCATGGGGACAAAGCACTCTGTAGATGGAGCCCGGAGAGGACGCTCTGAGCAGAAACCGGGGAGGAGGTGGGCCAGCACTGCCTACTTGGTGCCAAGAGCCACCTCTTCCGTCCCTGATATCCAGCCAGCAAGACCACCCTGAGCAGGAGCCAGAACCCCTTCCCAGGGCACCTTGGCCCACCCGGGAGGTCCCACACCCCGCACGCTCCTCTGGAACCAAGCTCCCACTTAACGGTCCCCAACTACTGCAATGGCCAATGACATCTGTCTTGTCCAGTGGCCAATGGATGTTTTCTCTGATGTCAGACATCAGGACTCTCCTGAGGCATCTCTGCGTGAGCCTGAACCCCAGATCTTTTCACGGGCAGCCAAGCTCACTGCCATGTGCACCCAGGACTCTGGTGTGCTGTGGCCAGGCCGTTCACCGTGAGGCTGAGATGGACCTCCCTCCACAGATACACCACCTCAAGATCCCTGCAGCCTGTAGGCTCCCCGGTTTCCGAGGCCTCCTCACAAAGACACAGTTCAGGCACAATGCCTCAAATGCTGAGGACAGCAGCTTGTACCCCAACATGGCCAGGCTCCTGTCCTGGGGAGTTGGTCACTCCCAGGCAAGGCCAGCTCCCCCAAGGCTTGGTCACACCAGGACAGACAGCACCATTGCCACTGTTTACTCCACAGCCAGTCCAGGGACACAGGGACATTGAGTGAGCAGTGGGGTGGGACAGAGCTCCAGAGGACAGTGGGAGCAGCGGGGGCCACACGGGGTGGGGCATGTTGAGGAGGACGGACCTAAGAAGCGCAAGAAGACAGACCAAGCAGGGGTGGAAGAGAAAAGTGGGGTGTACCTAGTGTCATTTCCAAGTGACACGCTAAAAGCGAGGCAGCCGAATACACAAAACACACAGAAGAGAGAACATCAGAGCATGTGGGCCACGTGGCCTCGGACACAGCAGGTTCCCCGTGGACGCTGGTCACCAACCCCAGTGCTGCTCCAGCAGTGCCAACTCCCCCTCCAGGGCCACCACCGGGGCCCCAAGGGACACACCATCTCCAAGAGCAAAACCTGCTGGAGCATAGCTCCGGGCACCTCGGCCAGGCCAGGTGCCTTCCAACAGGCCAGGCCAGCTCACACTTCACGGGGCATCGCTGTGCCCCTGCCGTTCATGGAGCTGGGATGTCCACTGTGTAGAGAGGGCACGGGCAGAGGGACAGATGACGGGATGTCTGAGGACAGTCTATGGCCTGGCGCTCCTCTCACGGAGGCCCTGGGCGTTGTGGCTGGGCCACCATGAATGAACTGGTCACTGTCCCGCCAGTAATGGTCGCTCACCAGCCAGTCTCTTTCATCAAATCTAACCAGAGGGCCACGCTGTCAGTCTGTGGGCCTGCTCATTTGGAGTGCCCTCACCACTCGCCCACCACAGCTGTCCTCCGGCTTCCAGCACTGCTGGCCACTTGCCACACCACACAACTGTTCGTGCTCCAGGCTGTGCCCACTGCTGCTCTGGAGAGCCCCGAGACCCTCCCCCAGCTCTGCAGGTCCCTGGCATCACTACCGTGGGGTTCACTGCTCTGCAGAGCAGTGACTGGACAAGGAGGTGCAAGCGAGGCCCCATCCCGAGACCTTCACCCCCACTTCCCCATCCTCACCCTCACCTGCTCTGAACACAAGGCCGTGTAGACCAAGCCTCAGGTCTACTGTTCTCGAAGAGGCTAGAAGGACTTGTGCACAGGAAACCTTTAGGTCCACCTGTTCAGATCTAGGGCCAAGGTGCCCCAAGGCCACAGGTGAGGAACCCAGACCTACCTGCTCAGGGGTGAGGGTAAGGAGTCCCAGACCCACCTGTTCAAGTTTGAGGGGAACAAGTCTGGGCTCAACTGTTAGGTACACGGGCAAGAAGCCCCAAGTACACCTGCTCAGGTATAGGAGCAAGGAGCCCTAGGCCCACCTATTCAGGTACGGGTGAGGAGCCCAGGAACCTCTGTTCAAGTATAAGGGCAAAGAGCACAGGTCCACCCACTCAGGTACACAGGTGAGAAAGGCAGACCCACCTGCTCAGGTACACAAGTGAGGAGTCCAGAAAACTGGAGCAGACCCCTGCTGCAACGGGAAAGCAGTACCCTCCTCCCAGGCAGCTTCCACCCAGCCCCGACCAAGGACCTCTTCACTGACTTTATCCACAACCCTTTCTGGGATGGAGAGTGGGTGGGCACTGCTGCCAGCCTGCCTAACAACAGCCAACACTCTGCCCTTGGGTGGACTTATCAACCAGAGAACTGTGACTTGAAAACTTAAATTTAAGATGGAATAGAGCTCAAACTGGTGGGTCTGACTGAATGTTTCCACGTGACCGGCAAACAACCTCCAAATTAGACCCCTGTCCAGAGTGGCCCATGTAGCTCTGAGAGCAGGGACCTCTGCAGCCACCCTGACCAGTCCAACTCGCCGTCCAGCCCCCCACCTCCAAGGAGCCCTCTCTGCCTGTAGGAAGGGCTAGGTTATCAGAGCTTCAGCACCCAGGACAGGGGTCCCGCCTTGACGGGAGCTGGGAGTCCCTACCTCACCCACTGAGGCTGAGGGAAGCTGGGCTGGCCGCAGCCCTTGGCACACAATCTGCACTTCCAGCTGGGGCAGAAAGGCCAGCCTTGCTGTCCTTACTGCCCTCCAGCCACAGGGGCCGTCAACTGCTGTGGTGGGCACACTCCCACGGACCCCTGCCCCACCCATGGGCCTGGCACGGTGGGAGGCTAGGCCCCTGGCTGCCCTGCTGGACACCCACTCTGCCCTAAGGGGCGGACACCTCCTCCTTCAGCAGCACTAGGGCGCAGACCCCACTGAGGACCAGAAGGAGGCTGCAGCCCTTTCAACCAAGCTGCTCCTAGAATCCCTACCAGGGAGTGGACCTAGGATGTCACAGGACAAAGCCGGGGCCTGGGCCTCACTGACCACTGCTCTAGGTCATTGGGGAGAGGGAGTCTGGCCCTGCCCAGTAGCCTCAGAATCTTCCAACTCACAGCTCCCTCACGCCTGCACCACCTGCCCGTTTTGCACATGCAGGTGCACGGACCCGGCCAGCGTGGCTGCCGGCACCTCGCCTCCACCCAGCCTGGCCAACACACGCTGTCTGGAGCCCGAGGCCTGGCCTGCTTCAGGGCCCCTCCAGTGTGGTGCCTGCTTTTCTCTTTCACCGTGCACAGAGGAGCTGGTCCTCTCCACCCTCACAGCCCAGGCAGCCCACGTGCAGGGCGCCCACTCTGCCTCGCCAGGCGTGGCCAGCACAGGCGGGCAGGGCTTGGGTGGACGGAGCGGGGCCAGCCAGTGTCTATGGAGAACGGGACACTACGAAGCAGCCAGACTTGGGAGCGCGGGCAGCAGACTCAGCCAGGGATAAGGGGCAGAAGCAGTAAATGGAAATCAAAAGAATATTCCAAAGATGGGCAGCAGAGGGGACGGGAGAAGTGAGCGAGTGTGTGAGGAACGGGAAGCTGGAACTACAGGTGATGTTGGGGTGGGGAGGCAGGCTGGAGAGAGCCAGGAGACAATGGTACCTAGGCATGTCCGAATCAAGAAACTGCCTGCAAGACATAAACAATTACATGTTAGTGAGCCGGGGGGGCCGGGGGAGGGCAGCGGGCAGCGGGCAGCAGAGCGATGGCCAGTGCAGAGGGAGATAGGACTCAAGTGGCCACCATGAGCAGAGGCAGCAAAGCATGGCCTCTCGGTGGGGAGAGCAGGCGAAGCAGGAGGGCAGGTCACTCCGCTCGCCAGGCCTGGGCCTCGGGGCCTCAGCATCAGTGGCTCAGAAAGCTGGACCCTACTGAGCCCTCCACAACCATGAGCCGGAAAGAGGAGGGTCCTGAGGCATGGCAGGCCAAACCCCACGAGAGGGGCAGGTCTGGGGCCAGGCAGTGCTGGGGTAACACCAGTGTGGACAGAGCCAAGCAAGGGGCGAGAAGCTGAGAAGGAGGCCTTCCTCTGTCCATCACCCCAGAGCCTGAATCCCCTGTGGGCCAGGATGACCACAGGGCTGCCCTCATTGCCCACAGCAGTGCCTCAGGACCAGGAGGAGGTCCTAACAGGACCCAGGGCCCGAGTCCTCACCTCCCCACGTACCTGCTGAGCTCCCTTCAGACTCAGCCCAGGGCACTGTAGGGGGTAATTCAGCCAGGGACACAGGAAAACCCATGTGGTCTGAGGCAGGGAGCTTTGGGCCGAAGGAGCCAGACCCCCATCTCTACCCCTTTCTTGGTGCTCCTGCCCTGCCATGCCCCCAGAAGCCAGGGGTTGTGGGGCAAAGGAAGGTCAGAGAAGGCAAGGCCCCTCCCAGGCTCCCCAGCAGGGTTCAGCAGGCAGACCGACCCCTCTCCTCGGCCCACGCACAGGGCCCCACCCCCCTGAAGTGCCCATGGTGGACCCACACCCTCTGCTTCACAGGAGCCAGGCCCCTACTCCACGTGCCGCGAGACCTGACCCCTCCCTAGTGTCCTGAGCCCCGTGCTGAGTGCATGGGACACAAGCAGGTGAACTCTCCATAGGCCCCTGACAGGCTGAGCTCAGAGCTGCACCCCCTGTTCCATCTGAAGCCCAGGCCACATCCCCACCCCACTGCAGTGCCCTCTTCCTGAACTTCTATCCTCACCCCTGACCTGAGAGAGCCCTTAAAGTCTATCCCCAGTGAATAAGACAGTGAGATCTGCCTGGACCCAGGAGGTGCCCAGGACCCTTCTCCACGGGGACAGTGGACACAGGAGGTGCCCAGGGCC